CCCTTATCAGGACTCAGAATTGGCTTAAGGAGGGAGCAAGCTGACTTGGATCCAGATATGTGTTCTCCCTCCACCTTCCACTCACGGTACAGAGTTGAGTTCCAGTGGCTAGGTGCCAGGCCTGGGTGGCGGTGGTTGGCCCCATTGGGCACGAGGCTTGAAGTCTTCTGTGAACAGATGGGACACCCCTCCCACCTCCCCTCACTGCACCAGGAACGCCCTGTGCAAAGCCAAGTCCGCCTGGGAACTGGATCCACGCTAGTTACGTGTTAGGTGCTCCTACCCTAAAGCCGGCGTGGACCCGACCCGGTCCCTTCCCGTCCCCCCAGTAAGCGGGCCTCAGACACGCTGCAGCTTGGTAGACGGCCTCGGTTCGTGCGCGCTGAGGCACATGCAGGCGTTTCTGCTGGAATGTAAACATCTGTTCCCAAAGAACCCCACATTCTACGTGGCACGTAAACATAACAGGGCTCGTGGGAAAAGTAGGGTTGGGACAGACCACTCAAGTCCCATGCGCTTTTTCCATCTGACCACAGAAACAAATCCCGTCCTAATGAAAACAGCAGCCTGGGTAAATCCCTGACTTAAGAACCCAGCGTTATAGGGGTAAACATCTCCCTTACAACAAAGTTCTTTAGGCTTCTCACTTCCAGTAAGGAGCTGTTTCGTCAAAATTGAAAATGTGGGGGCACCTGGATGGCTCGGGTGGTTGAGTGGCTGACCTCGACTTTGGCTCAGGTCACGTTCTTGCGGTTTTTTAGTCCAGGCCCCGCGTCGGGCTCTGTGCTGACAGCTCGGAGCCTGGTGCCTGCTTCGGATTCTGTGTCTCCCTCTCTCTCTGCCCCTTCCCTGCTTGCGCTCTGTCTCTCTCTCAAAAATAAACATTAAAAAAAAAATTGAAAATCTGACTTTGGCTGTCATCGATTAAAAAATGTGTGTGTGTGTGTGTGTGTGTGTGTGTGTGTGAGAGAGAGAGAGAACATGTCTTCCCAGTTTCTGAATGGGTTAGAGTACCTCCCCGTTTACTTACAGATATTGTTCTTACATGTCAAATCCCGGTGGGTGGGCTGGGGCCGGACTAGCCCTCCCCAGGGTAAGGAACACAAGCTCCCTCCATCTTGTCGCTTTGTCCTGTGACCTCAATCTCATGGTCTAAGCCGGTGGCATCTGCTTTCCAGGCAGCAGGATAGAGGAAGGGACAAAGAAGAGAGCAAGGCTCCTGGAAGCCACCACGTGACACCTTTGTGTTACACACAATGTTATATGTACAACCTTGTTGTGTGTCCATATGCCGACTGCAAGGGCCGCGGGGAAACAGTCTTTATTTTGGGGCACCCAGAAGTCCTTCCCGAATTCTGTGACTGTTTGCAGACAGACTGAGCAAATGGATTCAGGGATGGGTTGGGGAAGCTGGGAAGCTACAACAGTCTGTTGAAAAGAAGCCTACAACAAAAGTTTCGGATTCCAGAACATTCCTGGTAGCAGTGAGATCAGTGGCGATCCAAAGTCCTGGTACCGTCGTTGGTCTCCAGACAAGACGCCTGGTGCGAATTCAACGTTTTCCATTTTTGTTCAGTTTTCCTGTATCACCTTCTTCTTTTAGTTCTGAAAAACTGTTTCCAGCAAGATCATTTTGATTCTTTATCACAACAGTAATATAGAAATTCCCTTGTTTCCCTACCTCCATCCTTCCAGTCACCAAGTTTTGTCAGGTTTACAGCCGAGATATTTCTGGCACGTCATCTGCTTCTCCAACCCCTTCTGCCACGCTGATCAGCTCGCCGTCACCTTTCATGAGTCCTACGGCAAAGGAACGGTTCCCCCCTCTCCCCCACATCGGTTCATTTCTGGCTCCCTCCGCAGTTCTCAGAGGCAGCCATAGTGGACTCTGCAAAATACAAATCTGACCACTCTCCCAAGCTGGTACGCCTTCTCTCTGCTCCTGGGACAAACATCAAACTCCTTGACATAGCCTGCGTGTGGTCCCTCCATCTAGCCTGGCCCCGCCTGCACCACCAGCCTCCTCCCTCCCCAGTTCCTCAGCCACACTGACCTTGCAATTTCTGGATAGCCTCACACTCCTCTACCACAGGGCCTTGGCACCTACTGTTCCCTGTCTGGAAGGCTCTTTCCACCACCCCGTCCCAGCCCCCTTTGCCTAGGTGAGCTCCTTACATCCTTCCTTCCCATCTTGGCTCAGGCTCACATTTTTAGGGAGGCTTTTCCTGGCCAGCCCACCACCCCCGTCTTTAGAGCCCTTTTTCTATAGTTACAAATTCATCCATGTGTTTATGTGACTAAATTGTTTCTTCAATGAAAGTCTAAGCCGCAGGAGGCCAAGGCAGTTTTGATTTTTGAACCCTGTCGCATAGTCTCTCTGGTAGAGCAGTGGGCGCATTGAATATAAATGTAAACATATGCTAGGGTCAAAATCGTCTGTAATCTCACATCCCAGAATAACCGCTGTTGCCAGTTCCTGATAAGTCTTCTAAAATTGTGTGCAAACAGGGGCGCCTGGGGGGCTCAGTCGGGTGGGTGTCCGACTTCGGCTCAGGTCATGATCTCGAGATTCGTGGGTTCAAGCCCCGTGTTGGGCTCTGTGCTGACAGCTTGGAGCCTGAAGCCTGCTTCAGATTCTGTGTCTCCCTCTCTCTGTGCCCCTCCCCTGCTCACACTCTGTGTCTCTCTCTCTCAAAAATAAATAAACATTAAAAAATGGTGCCCCAATACTTGCATTTTATGTTAGTAAAAATAATTTGGGAGGTGAGATCTGAGACCTGAATTGTTGGTGAGCACTTTCTGCATCGTGAGAGGTTGGAGGAGACCTCATGATATAGATAAATTCTTTCTTGAGAAAGAGGAAAACTGGCTTTGGGTCTTTCTTTCCCTCAATGATAAATCCTAATAAATCTCCCTGTGATGAACCAAATTGTAGGGAAGGTCGGGGAGAGAGTCAGAAGGCCCCGCCAGTAGCCACTAGGGCCCTGTGACTGTCCACCTTCCCTTGTAACGTGATTCTTCACTCTCCTCAGAGGTCATTTCAAAACACGTATCTTCTTGGAAATATTTATACACAATCCTGGGATGGCCTCAGCCTGTGCTTGGGTTAATCAGTGTCGTTCATTAATGTCATCTTTTTTTTTTTTTAATATATTTATTTATTTCTAGGAGAGAGAGAGAGACAGCGTGAGCAGGGGAGGGTCAGAGAGAGCGGGAGACACAGACTCTGAAACAGGCTCCAGGCTCTGAGCTGTCAGCACAGAGCCAGACGCGGGGCTCAAACCCACGAACCGCGAGATCATGACCTAAGCGAAAGTCAGACGCTCAACCGACTAAGCCACCCAGGCACCCCTCATTAGTGTCATCTTAAACTGTCAAAAATAGGCTTCAATTGGCAGGTTCCTCTCTTAGTCCAAGACCAGGGCTGGGCAGGGGGAGCGTGGTTCCCCACCCCCACCTAGAGTTCAGAAAACCAGGAAGACCACTTGCAGGCGGGGGGAGCCCAGGCCACACACCCCAAGTCAGCCAGGAGCAGGGGTCTGCCTCCGATCGATGGGCCAGTCCCCCATCTGAGAGCCCAGATCCCAGGAGCTCAACGGCCCTGGACCGGGTGGGGGTGGAGTGCGTGGGGACGGCCACCAGAGGTCCCAGGCTGCTGGGCCCCAGGAGGGGAAGAACCATGTAGAGCCATAGCACCTGCCCAGGGCCTTCGGGCTACGGTGGGTATGGGAGGAGGGTGGCCTGGCCACACGCCCCTCCCTCCGCCGACCATGCTGGTGACACTCGGCCGCACCCGCCAAGCTCAGGGACACATAGGAACAAGGCACCTGGGCAGGTCGGGCAGGGATGCCGCCCCCCACCGCTCCTCAGCACACGGGAGGGGAAGGGACAGCTGGGCTTGACCGGGACCCAGGACTGCAAACCGCAGCTGTTTCTTTGTTTGCACAATCTCGTCCTTCCTTCCTTCTCTCCCCCCACCGAAGTGCATTTCTTTGGAGAACTTTTCAAACCTCTTTGAAATGGCTGGAAACCCGTGATGCTGCCAAACCTTAGTTGGAAATCATGACTCTGATCCAGAAGTAAAGGACAGGAAGTGAAACTGTGGGGAAGAAATAGCCAATCCTCCCTTGTGAGGGGGGCTTGGGCTCCCCCCTGCAGCCCCCACACACAGAGGCCCCCCCAGCCCTCCCCCCCACAGTCTCCCACATGCAGGAGCCCTGGTCGCAATTCCCAAGTGTGCTGCTGCTGCGGGAAATGTGCCCAGCACGCAGTGGGCCCCCAGTCGCCCTGGTTTCTGCACTGGGGGAAGAAGCCCTGGCTGAAATGACTGCATTTGTGCCCCAGCAAATAAAACAGGAAATACAGCTCGTGAAGATGAAAGCCTGCGGGCCGTGTGGGACTCTGCTCCGGATTTTGGCCCCTTGTCCCGGTGCGCCCCGTGCCAGCTGGACACGCGGTGAGCACGGGGTCCGGCTGTGGCCTCGGCCATGCCTGGAAGAACACACCAGCAGCTGTGACTCACTTTCCCTGCCCAGTAGATAAAGGCATCTGAACTATTTACTGCCTTAAGAGCAGTGATGACTATACACACGTAGCATCTTTAGGCCACTCGGTTCCTTACAAAGGAAAAGAAGCTGTGAGCCGGCGGGGCCTGCTTATTTGAGCAAAAGCTGACACTCTCTGGGAGACATCTGCCGCAGGCTTCCTGGCAGGGATCACCTCTGAGAAGCCTCTAGTGACCCGATCTCTTGCCCTCGGGTCACCTGGAATGGCGTGGGGCTGGTGGCTTTCCACGTGCTGGTGACAGAAATAACCTTGGGGCCACGCAGCGCCAGCCTGACCCACAGAGGCTTTCTCAGTGAGGAAGCCCCGGGACCGCCCCGGTCAGGAAGGCTGGGTCTGCAGTCCCGGGGGGCGGGGGAGGGCGCCCACTTGCTGAGCTAAACCCCAGACATTGAACTCAAAAAAAAAAAAAAAAAAAGGGAACGGAAGACACACCTCTGACTCCCGAAAGGGTTATTGTGTCCCAGGCTGGCTGTAAAAATGCTATTGGCTACGTCTCTGCGGCCAAAGTGCAGCCAGAATGTTTCTGTCTCCATTCAGAGCATTTGTTATTTTGGCTGAAAAGAAGTAAGCGGCACTTTCAGGGCAAGGATGGAGCAGCAGAATACCATCAAGAAGGAAGGGGTAAGTGCCCCCCCCCCCCGCCCCGGGGAAGGAGCCTAGAACAGTCTGCTCAGCATTGCTGGAGGGGTAGGGGGGTGGGGGGGGTGGGGGTTTCTTGGGAGCTCCGTGCAGGGCAGGACCGTTTGAGGGAACCTGCCTCTCAGAGTTCACTTGCCCAGGGACTAGCGGACAGACTTACAGACATTCCAGTTTAGAGATTGTTTGGGGGATCATTCGACTGCAACAGCCTTGAAAAGCACCTGTAACCAAATGGAAGAGACGCAGAGAGTTCACGGGTCCCAACTGCCTTACCTTTAAAAGCTGGAGGTGAAGGGATTCTGCAGCCAGCAGCAAAAGCCCTTGTACTTTTTTTTTTTTTCTAGCGTTTATTGTTGAGAGAGAGACACACAGAGTGCAAGCAGGGGAGAGGCAGAGAGAGAGGGAGACACAGAACCCAAAGCAGGGTCCAGGCTTTGAGCCGTCAGCACAGAGCCGGACGCGGGGCTCGAACACCTGAACCGCGAGATTGTGACCGGAGCCAAAGTCAGATGCTAAACTGACAGAGCCACCCAGGTGCCCCTGTTTGTAACATGTTTTTGGATTTGTTTTGATTTGGGCTTCGGAGCGTTTTCATTGGGCTTTTTGGCAAGTAACACGGCTGGGCCAGCGTGCAGAGAAGGTGGGCTCGGTAAAGAGCGTTCAAGACCCGAATCAAATTCAAATCTGTTGCGGATTCCCAGCCTTTTCGATGAGAGGCTCCCTTGTTTTAGAGACAGATTTTCCTGGACCTCGTCTCTGCTTCCCCCACTCCCTTGATTGAGGAAAATGCATGATGACAAAAAGATAAGAGTTTATTATGAGCACTTCAAAGGGAGTTGTGTTTTATTCATCACAACAGCAGTTGCTTGTATTTAGGGAGGCGGAGCTCTATTCGTGCAAGTTATTATTTAATCCGTCCTGGATGGGAGACCATTTGCACTGGCAGGTTGAGAGCATGCTCCGAAGCTCGTGGGTTCAGAGCACGTCTCAGAGGCGGTTTCATTCCTGCTCCATCCTATTCTAGCCGTGGGAACTTGGGCAAGGTATTTAACTGTTCCGTGCCTCAGTTTTCCCATCTGTAAAATGGAGGTAATAACCATACCACCTCATAGCGCTCCTGGAACAAATTAAGTGAGGTAATGCATGAAATGGCACATAGTGATTCCACCATAAATGTTACTACTTTCGATCATCCTCCCGAGCAGGGCACTAATGACATTTGGGGCTGGACGGGTCTTTGCCAAGGGGGACTGGCCTGGGTAATGCCGGACTATGAGCAGCACCCCTGATCTCTACTCATTAGCAGCCAGAAGTGCTCTCGTCCTGCGAGAACTAGAGCTTCCGAGGTTACTGAGCGCCTTCACAAGGACTTTGCTGGACTCTCGCGACAACTAGGAAAGTGTCAGACCATGCGAGTGTCGCCCCTCTACTTTATAGGAAAGGGGCTATGAGGTTACAAGACTTCGGGGCTGGGGAGTCTGGAGAAACCCTGGTGTGATCTGTGGGTACCCCCAGGTGAGGCTGCAGAGAAACAGAAAGACCCCTGCAAGGTGCTCCCTGCAGATAAGGAATCCATCTCGAAAGGAGATGATTAAAATGGTCACATGCAAAAGGCAGGGGCTGATTACTTGTCCTCAGAGGAGGGCAGCCCCGTCCAGGGCCAGGCGGGATGAAAGCACCCCCTTCCTGGCTCCCCGAGGGCAGACCTGCCCCTTTGGACAGAAGCCAGGACACGTGCTGGGCTCCCTGAGGAACGTGACGGCTGCTGTGAGTCTGCAGGTCATGAAGGGAGGCCCATGGGGGGGGGGGAGGGGGGACTTTGGAGCCCAGGGCAGCCTGCAGACAGCGGGGCTGTACGGCTGATGGGAGGGGGTGCAGCTTTCTGTACCCCCCGTTGGCTATGTGACCATGACCTCATTGGCCTTTGGGTTCCTCATATGTAAAAAGACCAAAATCGGGGCGCCTGGGTGGCTCAGTCAGTTAAGCGGCCGACTTCGGCTCAGGTCATGATCTCACGGTTTGTGGGTTCGAGCCCCGTGTCGGGCTCTGTGCTGGCAGCTCAGAGCCTGGAGCCTGTTTCAGATTCTGTGTCTCCCTCTCTCTCTGACCCTCCCTGCTCACGCTGTCTCTCTCTCAGAAATAATAAAAACATTTTTAAAAACTTAAATAAATAAAATAAATAAATAAAAAGACCAGAATCTGACCAGTGCGCATCAAGGACTTTCTGCAGAGAAAAAGTACTCTTGGCCTGGAGGGGGGAAAACAGATGAGGGAAAAAAATATGCCACGTGTTTTAGAAACTGAAAACGTCCTTTTTTTTTAAGTTTGTTTTTTTATTTACTTATTTTAATACTTAAAAAAACTAAATGTTTATTTTTGAGAGAAAGAGAGAGAAGGGGGATCCAAAACTGGCTCCATGCAGACGGTGGAGAGCCTGATGCGGGGCTCAAACTCACGAACCAGGTGATCATGGCCTGAGCTGAAGTCGGAAGCTTAACCGACTGAGCCACCCAGGCGCCCCACGTTTATTTATTTATTTTTGAGAGAGAGAGAGAGAGAGAGCGAGAGAGAGAGAGCAAGCGCCTGTGGGGGAGGGGCAGAGAGAGAGAGAATCCCAAGCAGGCTCCATGCTGCCGGCACAGAGCCCGATGTTGGGCTCAAACTCACGATCCATGAGACCATGACCTGAGCTGATATCAAGAGTCAGAAACCTAACCGACGGAGGCACGCAGGCACCGAAACGCTTCCTTTTGGGGGTGTGTATCCATCAACAATGCATCGAGCTTCATGGAACCAGTAACTTCCCTCTGGTTTTATCACTATGCATAGTGATGATAGCAGACCGGTGTGGAGCACTTTCTACAAGCCAGGCGGGGCTCAAGTGTTTTTCTTAGAGCTCATTTTCTCAGAACTCGTTCATTCTTCACCTCAGTCCTATGAGGGCGGAGTATCATTGTCCCCATTTTACAGGTGAAGGAGCTGAGACACAGAGAAGGTCAGTGACTGGCCCAAGGCCACACAGCCAGCTGCAGGAACGCAGGACCTGATGGCAGGCTCGAGGGCTGCCCCCGCTGCGCTCTAAACCACCACGGCCCCAGGACTAGCCCTTCTCCTCTGTCCCGTCGCCCCACCTAAGCCTCACTTTCTGTTTGTGAACTTTGGGATCAGTGGTGTGAGAAAGTGGCTCAAAGAGTTAATAATTCATGAGAACTAACTTCTCTGGAGATGGTTGCGTTCTAACGGAGATTACCGACGGCGGGAATGGATGCTAGAAGGAAATTCCCAAGGGACTGGTTTGGGCGGGGCTCCCTTTTCCCAGCGGCCTTGAATGACACTGTGCTGGGGAGGGCGGGCCTTTAAGGGGGCTGTTTTACTAAGTCTCAAAAATGTGCTCAGCGTTATGAAACAGGAAGCCAGTTCACCGTGGGCCTGAGGAATGTGTGATTCCTCCCGAAAGCATAGCTGAGTAATAGCTCCCCTCGGCCTCCGAGGAGACACCCCCCCTCACCCCTCCCGGGTCACATCTGAAGGCCACTGGGCCACGTGTCATTTTTAGAGGCTGCTGGGTGGCCTGCAGTCCTCATGGGCCCCTTCCTCTCCCTCATGCCCTAATCTAGCCCAGTACTAAATCTTCTTTTTTTCTCCCTCCTGGAAAGCAAAAAAGAAGAAAAAAGAACGCTTAAACCCTGGCTTTCTTTTTCTGCCTTTTAAAATTAGAACCTTTGCTGAGGCTATAACTCACAGACCAGGCAATTCACCCCCTGAAAGTATGCAGTTTGTGTGAAATATACAAACGTGTATTTGTGGAGTTGAGCAGCCATCGGCCCGATCAAGTTTAGAGCATTTTCACACACACACACACACACACACACACAGGACCCTGTACCTACTGGCAGGAATCCACATCTCTCCCCAGTCCATCTGCCTCCTGTCTCTGTGGACTTGACTGTTCTGGACCTTTCACGAGGATGACGCAGGCGGGAGGCGGTGTCTGTGACTGGGTCACGCACACCACAGCACGCATCCGTCGCCACTTTGTTTCCCTTACGGTCAGATCACATTCCCTTGGAAGGAAGTGCTGCCCCTGCTGACACATTCGTCGGTTCACGGACAGCTGGGTGGCCCCTACTTTGGGGCCGTTAGGGAGAGCGCTGCTGTGAACACTGGGCTCGGGGGTTTGTGTGAGCGTATTTTTACCCATCTTGGGTGTGCACACCTACGTGTGGAATCGCTGGGTCACACGGCTCCTCTGTTTAACTCTGTGAGGGGTGGCCAGGCTGGCCTCCAAAGCGCGCCATCATGCGTTCCTTCCCGCCACGTAGGGACCCTCCAGTCTGCTCCCTGTCAACGCTTACGATTCTCTGTCTTACTGATTTTACCCGCCCTGGTGAGTGAGAAGTGGTATCTCATTGCAGCGTTGGTTTGCATTTTCCTGGTGGGGAGGGTTAGGGGGGTAACGGGTCCTTTGCTTTTACTCCCTAAATGGTCCTCCAAGCTGGTGCTTCTGCCCTTGCCCCTCACCCGCGCCCCCGTTCTCTGTCCCTTCCGACTCCTCCTCTAAAGCACGTCTTCTTTGTAGAACTCGTTACAATTACAGGTATTACAGTACAGTTACAGCTCACTTAAATTATTAAATTATTGTGTGCTTTTTTAGTTTTAATTGTTTCCTTTTTTAAAAATTTTATTTGTTTATTTGAGAGGGAGAGAGAGAATGAATGCCAGCAGGGGAGGGGCAGAGAAAGGGAGAGAGAAAGAGAATCCCAATCAGGCTCTGCATCACCAGTGCAAAGCCCCACACGGGGCTCAATCTTATGAACCGTGAGATCATGACCCGAGCTGAAACCAAGAGTCAGAGACTTGGGGCGCTTGGGGAGCTCAGTCAGTTGAGCGTCCGACTTCGGCTCAGGTCATGATCTTGCGGTTCACAAGTTTGAGTCCTACATCGGGCTCTGTGGTGACAGCTCGGAGCCTGGAGCCTGTTTCAGATTCTGTGTCTCCCTCTCTCTCTGCTCCTCCCCCACTCACACTCTGTCTGTCTCTCTCTCAAAAGTAAATAAACATTAAAAAAAAGTTTTTTTAAGAGTTGAACACTTAACCAAATGAGCCACTCAGGCACCCCAATTTATTTTATTTATTTAATTTTTTTTTTTATTTTTGAGAGAGAGAGAGAGAGAGAGAGAGAGCGTGTGCTGGTGAGCTATCAGGGAAGGGGCAGAGAGAGAGGGAGACACAGAATCTGAAGCAGGCTCCAGGCTCTGAGCTGTCAGCACAGAGCTGGATGCAGGGCTTAAACTCAGGTACCATGAGATCATGATCTGAGTCAAAGTCAGAAGCTTAACCAGCTGAGTCACCCAAGCACCCCCAGGTTTTCATTTTAGAGAAAGAGAGTGGAGGAGAGGGGCAGAAGGAGAGGAGAATCTTAAGCAGGCTCCACATTCAGCACAGAGCCCAACGCGGGGCTCCATCCCACAACCCTGGGATCATGACCTGAGCCAAAACCAAGAGTCAGACACTCAACCAACTGAGCCACCCGGGTGCCCCTATTATGTAGTTTTTTTAAATGTCTGCCTTCCGCATTGGTGTAGCATGGCGCCTGGACGGTAGTCAGCTGTCAGCCACTTTGCTTGATGGATGGAGGCGTTTGGACCAGTGTGGTCAGTGAGAACCTACCCAGAAGATCTTTGAAACCCCTGACTCTGGTGGGTCTACAGAGTGTGGCTGCGTCTTGAATTCAAGGAGGAAGACAAACTTTAGATGTTAAATCGCACGCTCTGTGCTTAGAGGCTCTCTCTGCACTCTGAGTCCTTTCTGATGATGTTCATGGGACTCATGAAAGTACCCACGGCCGCTGGCTGTCCATGGGGCCCAGCAGCGTCCCCTATCTTGGGGCACCAGCCAGCTCCCCCGCAGAGCTTTGCCAAGGACTTCAAACCATAGGACCAAGCAAAGTAGGAAGTGGTCAAGAAGGAGTTGCGCTTGGCGGAATGAGTGAAGCCTGTTGTGTTTCTAGTTAATTGTTTACCTGGAAGAGAATCAGAAGAAGAAAACTGTTTAGCAGTTTTCTCCTTCTTTCTTTCTTCCTCATTCCTTCCCTTTCTTTCTTTCTCTCCCTCCTCCCTCCCTTCCTTCCTTCCTTCCTCCCTCCCTCCCTTCCTTCCTTCCTTCCCTCCTCCCTTCCTCTCTTCTGCAAAATCAAGCAATAGAACGGTCACAGGGAGATGATCTTTGTTTTGTTCTCCACCGTATCCCCAGCACTTAGAAGGATGCCAGGCTCACAGCGGGTGCTCCACAGGTTGAAGGGAGTGAGTGACTGAGTGAGTGGGTGAGTGCCCGGAGCGCTCTGTCCTGCATCTCGAGCGGGGGGCGTGCGTGGAGGTGCGTACTGACGCACCCCTGCCTTTAGAAGTCACAGGACAATGTGCCAGAGGCCCCGGAACCCGCTTTCTCCCCGGGGTGCCATCACCCCTACTTTGTCACCTGCACCCCCACGCCGGCTCCAGGGGATGGTGGGGACTAAGGGAGACTGGAAACCAGAGCCCACGGCTCTGCTCTTACCTTCCTTACCAGAAACTTCCTGCTGAATTAATCATCTTTTAAAATGTTTGTTAGAGAGACAGAGGGAGCTGGGGAGGGGCAGAGAGAGAGAGAGAGAGAGAGAGAGAGAATCCCAAACAGCCTCTACACTGTCAGGCCTCAGTCCCACGAACCCTGAGATCCTGGCCTGAGCCGAAGTCAAGAGTCAGATGCTTAACAGACTGAGCCACCCGGGTGTCCCTGAATAACCACTTGTCAATTTGTTTGGTGGAGGGAGGAGGAGGAGGAGAAGGTTTCACTTACCGGGGGCTCCTTACAGGTCTCGCTCCTGCTGCGCAGAGGGTTAACCAGCGAGTGCTCCCTGGAGCACCTCAACAAGGCAGGAATGACTGCCGGCTGCCTGCCTGCCCCGCTCCTCACTTACCTCTTTAGATTGGGGGGGGGGGGCGCCCAGAGGAAGACCTGAGGTCTCGGCTTGCCGGTGGGGCGAGGGCACGTGTTCCCTAGGCGGGGCCTCCATGGGAATAGCTTCCGGGAGCCCCGGCCAGGCCTCAGTCAGTGGATTCACCTCCGCGGCTAATCACTTCCATAACTGCACCTTGCAACAGCTCCGAGGGAGTGTTACGGCCTCTCTGAAGATAAGGAAGCTGAAGATTGTGGCAATGAAGCTAGAAAGTGACAGTGGACACAAGGGAGATAAAGCCTGCAGATTCCAAGGGAAACGCTTTTTTCACTTCTGTTTTTCTCCAGCTTTTCACGACTTTGCTAATGACGTTCCTCTTGTCATCAAAAAAGATTGCCTTATATGCATGTTCAGTTTCCTCATGTGCGGAAGGGGGATAGGATCACAGGATGCATGTGTGTGAGAGTCCCCAGAAATCTGTATTTAAATGTTTTCCCAGGTCGCCTGGGTGGCTCAGTCGGTTAAGCATCGACTCTTGATTTCAGCTCGGGTCATGATCTCACAGTCTGTGAGTTCGAGCCCCACATCGGGCTCTGTGCTGACAGTGTAGAGCCTGCTTGGGATTGTCTCCTTCTCTCTCTCTCTTTCTCTCTCTCTCTCACAATAAATAAATACACTTAAAAAAATTTTTTTTTCTCACACTGCCTTTCGTCTGTTACAGCAAAAGTCCAGAGGCTAAAGGAAGTTAATCAGTGACCCTAAATAAACAAGCAAAATTTTCCCGTTCTGGGGCGCCTGTGTGGCTCAGTCAGTTAAGTGCCCAACTTCGGCTCAGGTCATGATCTTGCAGTTCATGAGTTCGGTCCCCACATTGGGCTCTGTGCTGACAGCTCAGAGCCTAGAGCCCGCTTCCAATTCTGTGTCTCCCTCTCTCTGCCCCTCCCCCACTTGTCCCTTTGTCTCTCTCTCTCTCTTTCTCTCTCTCTTTCTTACAAGTAAATAAACACTAAAATTTTTTTTTTCCCATTCTCTCTTCTCCAGTTTTTAGGGGACTTTGTGTTTCAGGCAGTACTGAGTGCATTTGCTACTGTCAGCAAATACAGCCGCGTGTCGGGAATATTACAGGAAGGATTCAGACATTACAGTGTTGGAGGAGATGACCCTTCCGTGTCTTTCTGACCGGGTGGTTCTCAGGGGCCATGCTCCTACCCCCGCCAATCAGCGTATCGGATATTTGGCAATGTCTGGAGGCCTCAGGAAGGGCAGGGATGGCCCTATGAAGCATAAAGGACCGCCCCCAGGGCAAAGAATGATCTGGCCCTAAGTGTTGGGGTTGAGAGAATGTTTTTTTTTTTTTTAAGTTTATTTATTTATTTTGAGAAAGAGGGAGAAAGCACAAGCAGGGGAAGGGCAGAGAGAGGAGAATCCCAAGCAGGCTCTGAGCTGTCAGCATGGAGCCAGACTCGGGGCGGGAACTCACGAACCGCGAGATCATGACCTGAGCCAGAGTCAGACGCTTTCCGACCGGGCTAGGTGGTGGAGGGTAGGCATGGGGAGCACTTGAAAGACTAAGGGTCTTCAGATTCTCTGACGTCCTTCTAGAAGACTCGGGGGTGAAGTAGGAGTTCCCTTGAAGCGCAGCTGCCTTCTGTGACCTCAGCCGGGTCCCTTCTCCGCAGAGGCTGACGCTTGTACTCTTCCTGGCAACGCTGATAGCTGCCTTCGGGTCATCCTTCCAGTATGGGTACAACGTGGCCGCCGTTAACTCCCCTTCCGAGGTAGGTCGCTGGGGTGCGTGAGACGCCCCCCACCCCCTGTCAACGGGGAGGGGGGTTGGAGCAGCCTGTGGCTGGGCACGGCCACCGAGGCGGCGGCGAGCACACGCTGGCGCACACAGTGGGTCTGCAGGTGACAGGGAGAGGGAAGGACCTACGAGACGCGCGGCGCAGGGCCACGGGGATGACCGCGGGGCCCCGGCCTCAGCTTCCCACTGGCCTCGGGGGTGCGGCTGGGGGCTCCGGTCTTCTGCAGCCTCGCGCTCCCCAGACGAGTCTGGAAGGTCAGGGGTCGCGCGGAGGACTGGAGTTAACAGCACCCTGGGCAGTGCGCACAGCAGAGGCGGGGTCAGCCCTCTCTGAGGCGCCCTTGCTAACTGCTGCTCATACATCCTGGCCTCCCTCCCTTCGCTCCCCTGACTAGTATGGGTTCCTGTGGGCCCCGGGCACCCCCGGGCGGCCCGCCAGCTTCCGCGCTTGTCTGCAAAGCCAAGTCGGCACATGGGTGTCTGCTCTGCTCTGTCCTGCAGTTCATGGAGGCATTTTATAACAAGACCTACTATGAGCGAACCAACAGCTACATGAGCGAGTTCGTCTTGACCTTGCTGTGGTCTGTTTCCGTGTCCATGTTCCCCTTCGGAGGCTTCATCGGGTCCCTCATGGTCGGCCCTCTGGTGAATAAACTGGGCAGGTAAGGAGGTGGACTTCCAGCTCCTGTAGCCCCCAGACCCCGTCTGTTCAAACCCCAGGCCCGAAGCTGGAATCGTTTGTTTGTGAAACTGGGTAATAACCGCCCGGGGTAATTTCTGATGCCCGAAGATCAGCTTAAGAAGACAGATGTTGACCTGGGGGTGCAGTCAGGGTCTGGGGTGCGCAGGGGGCTGACGGGCTCGACGGGCTCTGGGGCAGAACATGCTTCGGATGTCAGGACTCCCCCTCTCTCTTCTCCTGCCCGGCAGGTTTTTTCTGTAACCAAAACCAAGTTCTGTACTCTTTTTTTTTTTTTTGCCTTTATTTTTTTAAAGATTTGTTTTAGGCTTATTTCTTTATTTTGAAAGAGGGTGCACGGGAGTGGGAGCGGAGGAGGGGCGGAGAGAGAGGGAGAATGAGAGAATCCCGCACTGTCAGTGCAGAGCCCGATGCCGGGCTCGAACTCACGAATCGTGGGATCATGACCCAAGCCAAAACCAAGTGGGATGCTTATCGACTGAGCCACCCAGGTGCCCCCCTTCCCTTTTTTTTTTTTTTTTGCCTTTAAAAGAGTCAAACACCAGATAACATGGCCAAAATGTCAATCCCAATGTAGATTACAGCACAGTGTTCTTGAGTTCTGCCTCCCAAACTAACACAAACTCACCGCTCTGTTCTTTCACCCTGGGATCAAGTAATGGGCACAATTTAGCCCAAATTAAATGTCTGTAAAATTCTGAAATGGCTGAGATTAATATCAGACACTAGACTGAAATCCTGTAGACCCAGGACACCTCTCACGGTGAGTGTTGTGAATGTCAAGGGCAGGGCTCATATTTGAGCCTAATTCCAGAAACATCAGAGATTCTAGTTGCTGTATTTGATTCCAAAAAAGGTCCTTAAGACTTCACACCCCCGAGTGTAAGATCCATGGGCATGAGAGAGGCCTGGTTATGAACAGTGTTGAAGAGCCCCTCCCTCCCTGCCCTGGGCAGACACACAGACCCTGGGTAAGATCTCTTCTTGGCCACAGATGTCGTTAGCTTGAGAATCGCGGCCAGAGCCCAGTGCCTTCTCCAATGTTTTTCAAAAAGAGTCTGAAAATAGCAACATACAACCTCTGGTTTGGGATCCACGATCCTAAGGGCTTCCTGGAAGGTTGGTGTTAAGCTCAACTGTTCTCCCTGGGGGCCCCAGGGGCCAGGACATCAAATGAGGTCACAGATCTGCAGGACCAGTGTCCTTGGAGTGAAGGACTTACCTTTTTGGTCCACGGAGGGAGCAGACAGTCTCAGGTCCAGCTCTCTGCTTTAGAATGTGACAGATTTGGGGGGGGCACCCGGGTGGCTCAGTCAGTTGAGCGTCCCACTTGGGCTCTGGTCAAGACCTCGCAATTTGTGAGTTCAAGCCCCGTGTTGGGCTCTGTGCTGACAGCTCAGAGCCTGGAGCCTGCTTCACATTCTGTGTCTCCCTCTCTCTCTGACCCTCCCCTGTTCATGCTCTATCTCTCTAAAAAAATAAACATTTAAAAAAATGTTTTTAAAAAGGAATGTGATAAACGTTTGTGGTTTTCTTAAGGATCTGATCCTGAAATAACAGTAGCAACCAACAGTTGACTGATGGGTTCCTACCTGCCAGGCTCTATCTTGAAAGCTTTTAGGTTTGTTAACTCCTCTAATCCCTATAAAAGCCCCCATCCCGTTTTTCAAAATGGGAAAACAAGGCACAGACAGATACTATCACTTACCCAAGATTATACAGCTGGGAGGAAATTTCACCCCTGAGCACATCTGAGTAACTGTTATATCAGGCAAGTATCTTAATCTGTTGCTTTATTTTTAATCATATCCATAGTATTTTTTTTTACACAAGATGTTTAAACGTTCAAGTGGTCAGATTTAACTCTCATTTACTATTTTTGCTTTTTTGTGCCTGAAGACAGCCTGCCCTACCCGAAGTCCCAAAGATAGCCCTCTGTGGTTTTAAAAATAATGTTACAGTTTTGTGTTTCCCAGATAGATCTGGCATTTTATCTTGCGTGGTGTTTAAACATTGAAATATTTGCAAATATTTCGTTTAGGGCTTTTCCATCTACGTGATTAAGTGGGGCTGGCCTATGCATTCCTTCTAATGTCTTTACCTGATCTGGGCTGGAAGGTTACACTAAAATCATGTGAGTTTATGATTTCCAGAACCCGTCAGTATATGGTAGAGTATGCGGCCCTGTTCCTCTGCTCCCCACGGCTGACGTGCTCCATTGTGCTCATCTCCGTGGGCTCCCACGGAGAAGGTTCCCACAGCAGGCTGTGCACTTGACCCTCATCAGTCTCAGGTCACAGCGTCAAGCAGCTGCAAAGCCCACTGTTGTCACCGGGCAGACCCTTGGCGAACATCCGTTAAAACAACAACCGAACCCTCAACCCGAACTAACTGAGATTTCGTCCTCTGCAGGAAAGGGACCTTGCTTTTCAACAACATCTTTTCCATAGTGCCCGCGATCTTAATGGGGTGCAGCAAGGTCGCCAGGTCTTTTGAGATGATCATTGTGTCCAGACTTTTGGTGGGAATATGTGCAGGTAAACAATGCTACATGTGCTACCACTTTGTGACTTAGGATGACAGAGGAGTAGGGGGAGGAGGGGTGGGCGCCAGGGTCTGGATCGTTCTGGAACTTCCGAAGCACATACACACAAGCTATTCCTCTGCCCTGAAATAGATGCTGGAGTCTGCGCATCTCGGATGCAGTCAAGGGCCGAGCTTCACTGTGAAGCTTCCTGTAAAGACAGCTGTTCCGCGAAAGACAGAAATACAGAGTCCTATTCACAAGGGCACTTCCGGTCCCTTCCTTCATCTCCGTGTTTTCTAAACTGCAGGCGGGACCAGTGAGTGGGCGGTGGCCCCTGATTAGTGAGCAGCGTTTTCCTTTCCTTTTTTTAGGTTTATTTATTTATTTGGGGGGGGGGGGGGGGGCAGGAGGGCAGAGCCTGAAGCGGGGCTCAAACCCACAAACCAGGAGATCATGACCTCCTGAGCAGAAATCATGAGATGCTTGACTGACTGAGCCACACACGCACCCCAGCATTTTCCTTTTCTAGGCAGAGTACAGACTGTGTTGTGTGTAGCAGAGGTAAGGACAGTCTTCTGAAATGTGTTCCGGGGATTTATCTGTACATGTGGGTGAGAACCAGGTTGCAAATGTAAAATGTGTTTCTGTATTTTTACAGTGGGTTGTGGTCAAAAAAGCATGAGAAACAATCTAATGTACGAATCCCTACTATCACAACCTGTCAACTTTTTTTTTTAATGTCTTTATTTTATTTTGAGAGACAGAGAGCGAGTGGTGAAGGGCCAGAGAGAGAGGGAGACCAGGCTCTGAGCAATCAGCACAGAGCCCGATGTGGGGCTCGAACCCACGGAACTGTGAGATCATGACCTGAGCCAAAGTCAGACGCTCAACTGACTGAGCCACCCAGGTGCTCCTGGAGTTACTTTTAAGACAGGTTAGAGGTTGCTTCCCACCAGCATGAAGGGGATCCCATCTCTCAATAACCTCCTGACGTTTGCCTTTTCGATTTTGTCCCTGATCAAGTGAAGAGGTACTTGCCACCGAGAAGTGCGCCCCTCTGTCCCGGCCCTGGATGGTGACCATGAGCCTGCCCCTGCTTCTTATCAGCTCTGTGGGCCCTAGGCCTGTGGGGTCTCCCCCACCTCACCCCTCCCATCAGACTTCTAAGGGCTACTCTTTGCTCTGACAACTGGGAAGAATTGGTGTGAATGGACAGCAAGCCTCTTTCAAAACACAAAGCAGGTATCTTTGGGTAGAATCGCAGAGCTTGAACATTTGGCTCTCCGGAGTTTCCCTCCTATCTGGATGTCATCAAACACCCTCCTGTTCCCAGCAGCTCTTACCCTCCACGCGCCCCACACTGTTCCCCTCGGCCTCCCTGTGGCCAGAGCCTCCTTAGACACTGTCCTTCTGAGCCCCAGCCCGACTCGTGACTGGGTGTACGATACTAGTAACGACCCACCCGACGTTTGTCCAAGATTCTCAGCCTCTAGTTGGGCTTTTGGGAGAATTAAATAATATATGTGACAATGCTTTGGAGCCTATGAAATTAGGTTCTGCCTGTTAAGAGGGTCATATTCCAGTAGATGAGAAAACTTAAAAGTTGAAATATTGGGAGTTTAGAAACAGTGTAGACATTGTAGAATCCGAGGTTATCGTTATTCCACGATATATAAGTGTGGAATGCTTACAGATAACTAGAACTTATGCTTCGATGTCTATGTATGTATCTGTGCGTCAGTTTCTTATGCAACACACCTTCTCAGAAGGTGAACTGCTTGGCAGGGGTCCTTGGCCTTGTGTTAACAGATTCCCCTAAGGAGCCAGAGAGGGAGAAGGTGCCAGACCACACCTGGGCTTTTCCCTCTTGGGATCAAGCCAGTCAGGAGGGAAGACCAGGGGGGCCTGGATGGCTCAGTCAGTTAAGCGTCTGACTCTTGATTTTGGCTCAGCTCATGATCTCACAGTGTGTGGGTTCAAGCCCTGCATCAGGCTCTGTACTGACAGCTCAGAGCCTGAAGCCTGCTTTGGATTCTGTCTCCCTCTCTCTCTACCCCTCCCCCACTCATGCTCACTCTCCTTCAAAAATAAACAAACATAAGAAAGAAAGAAGAAAGAAAGAAAGAAAGAAAGAAAGAAAGAAAGAAAGAAAGAAAGAAAGAAAGAAAGAAAGGAAGGAAGGAAGAAAGAAAGAAAGAAAGAAAGAAAGAGGGAAGACCAGAGGTCAGGCCACCTGTGTCCCCTGTCCCCAGTGACATAGTTTGAAAAGCAAGGGTGCTTGTCCATGAACTTCCTTGGTCAGACTAGTTTCTCTTTCCTTACAGTTTAAAGGACTAAGCATTAAAAAAGGTGTTGGCTTACTCTTGCCATTTTGAGTGAGTTTCAGCCCAACTCATGTGATTGCTGGATGGGAATGAATATGTTTGAGGGGCACCTGGGAGGCTCCGTCGGTTAAGCATCTGACTTCGGCTCAGGTCATGATCTCACAGTTCCTGGGTTCGAGCCCCGCGTCGGGCTCTGTGCTGACAGCTCAGAGCCTGGAGCCTGCTTCAGATTCTCTGTCTCCCTCTCTCTCTGCCCCTCCTCCTCACTCAAAAATAAACATTAAAAAAAGAAATGAACGTGTTTGAAGACAGAGCCTGTCCCTGTCAGACGAATGTTTCCTGATGGTGTTTTCCCTTCAATCCTGCCAGGTCTGTCCTCCAATGTTGTGCCCATGTACCTGGGAGAGCTGGCCCCCAAAAATCTGAGGGGGGCCCTGGGGGTGGTGCCTCAGCTCTTCATCACCATCGGCATCCTTGTGGCCCAGCTCTTCGGCCTTCGGAGCCTCCTCGCCAACGAAGAAGGTGAGCTCCAGATGCCTCTGGGTGCCAGGCCCCTTTGTGCTCTGGCTGGATGTTCCTGTGAGCCGCACTCTCCTCCCCAGTCGGCCGGCTGTGCTCGCCTGGCCGCCTGGTGCTGGTGTGGTATCTGCACAGAACGGGCCCTGAACAAGGTGGCGGGGCCCATGTAGCTAATGTTTTCCAGTCCCTCACAGGACACAGATGAGGGGGTTTAGAGTGAGCAGGAAGGGCCGTTGTCTGAGCTTCTGGCTCGCTTGGTGGCTGTCCACACAGGGGCCCGGGGCACGGTAATGACCACAGCCAGTGTGCTTGAGGCCTCCCGCCTGGGCCTGACTCACGCCTCCCTGCAACGCTGCTGCCTATGGGGGGGGGGGGTGCTCTGTGACTGACCTATTCTGTAGACCAGGAAAGGGGGAGCCCCCTAGGGGTGAGATGGTGAGTCTCAGTGCAGGTACCAATTCCAGACCCTGACTCTGGAGCCTCACCGCCCTCCTTGGGAGCCCAGGCCCCGCACACAGGAAATGTAGGGTGACTTGTAACTGTCATCGCTTTTGCATGACTTCCCTCCTGGTCCCAGGCATCTCAGAAAGGGGAATCACCATTAATGGTGACACCAGCCCAAACATATAAAGTGCTTATTGTGGGCCAGGCAAAGATGAATTCCATTTAATCCTCCAAACAGCCCTGTACAGCAGGTGTTATTATTATACCCATTTTCCAGATGTAGAACCTGGGGCATAGAGAGGTTGGATAACATGTCCAAGGTCTCATTGGGACACAAATCCAGGTGGCTTGGGCCTGGCTCCATGTTAAATGACCACTGTCCCCCTTCCAGTGACCATCATAAGGAGCAGGGATCAGGGCAGGGGGTAACTTCCTGTCTCCCAGCAAAGGTACCTGTACACCTGTCAGACCCGGGGCCGTCACAGAGCCCCGGTGTCAGTGATGTGCCTCTGGTGTGCCCAGCGGGGGGGCCTCAGAGCGGCCCAGACTGGGGGAGCAGGACCAGCCTTCCAGACGTGTGTGGACGGGGCAGACCTGCAGAAGCTCCCTGCCACGTTCAGGGAACCACAAATGTGTGGATTGCATTTGTCACTCCATCCTTTACGGAGACCATGTTGCCGGCGGTGTCCTTCCTCCGGACAGAGCGTGGAGGGCGGGGCTTGGCCTTTTTCTCCAGCTCAACCCCCCGCACTGAGTACCGGGTGCTCAGAGAACAAGGAAGGAAGGAGAGAACACTGGCACCAGACCAGGCAGTCATGGTGCAGAGGTCGAGAAGAAGTGCCGGTCTTCTCGAAAAGCAGATGGAAACAGGGTCTGGGTTTGGCAGTCTGGGGTCTCCAAGAAGACTCTCGGTGTGGGGGGTGGGGGAAGGGGCTGGGGCCAGAGGGCAGTGGCCCAAATTGGAGGGAAGCTGGTACCCGCTGTAAGCTGTGCAGGGCAACTGAAACAGGGTCCGGGATTGGCCAGGCCCTGGATTTGAGAGATGGAGGTCAGGAAAAAGAGGATCCAGCCGGCAGAGCGGTGGGCAGGGCAGACGTGGGCCTCAAGCGTGGCGCTCGTGTTCTTAGGAGGAAGGGCCAGAGGCTGAAACACGACCTGAAGAAGATGATGTCCACACATGAGGCTTTTCTTGGTTTATTCCTCTCCCACGTCAGTAGCGAGACTCCCTGGGTGTGCGGAGCCATGGCCTGGAGTTTGAGTCCCCGACCACATAATACTTCTTTATGAGTCCCCAGGGGAAGCCGGAGGCCTGCTGCGGGCGCCTCAGCCATGGCCTCCCCTCCCCCAAAGGAGGCCGCTGTGTAGACATTTCCCATCATCTCATCCTTGCACCGCTTTCCATGGTTTTGGCTTTTTTTTTTTTTTTTTAACTACTTTTGCAAGGATAGCGTTAATTTTCCGTTCCCGGACTTCATCCGATTGGAGCACACGCATAGACCACGGCCCGACCCTGTTTCTGGGCCGGGCTCCGGCCGGGCTTCGAAGGGCGCGGTTCAGAATTCCACTTACGTCTACGCCGTGGCTCCTGTGGCCCGTCTCCCGCCGTGGACTCCGACGTTGGTCGGTTTCCGTGTCTGTAATCAGCGCGGCGCCGACCCTGCGGGACCAGGCGCCCCGGCGGCCCCGGCGGCCTCGGGGCGCTGCGTCGGGCACGGGAGGGTGTGCCCGGTGGGGGACGGAGTGGCCGGCGGGGCGGGGAAGGCGGCTTGCCCCCCGGGCGGCTCTCACCCGGGCACCGCGCCCTCGCAGGCTGGCCGATCCTCCTCGGGGTGACCGGGGTCCCCGCGGCTCTGCAGCTCCTCCTGCTGCCCTTTTTCCCCGAGAGCCCCCGGTACCTGCTGATTCAGAAGAAGGACGAAGCGGCTGCCAAGGACGGTGAGGCTCTGCGCTGCGGAGGGCGGGGGGCGGCGGCGGCGTGGCCCCGGGAAGCGGGGGCCCCCTGAGCCGGCGCCCTGCTCCCCGCCCTTAGCGCTGCGGCGGCTGCGCGGCTGGGACGACGTGGGCGCCGAGCTGCAGGAGATCCGGCGCGAGGACGAGGCGGAGCGGGCGGCCGGCTTCGTCTCGGTGCTGCGGCTGTTCCGCATGCGGTCCCTGCGCTGGCAGCTGCTGTCCGTCGTCGTCCTCATGGGCGGCCAGCAGCTGTCGGGGGTGAACGCGGTACGGCCGGGGGCCGGGGGCCGGGGGCCGGGGGGGCGGTGTCTCTTCACAGGGGGGAACGGGGTCCGGGGCNAGCCTCCCCCAGTGCCTAGAACCAGGCAGGTGCCCCAGGAATGTTCCAGGGCCTGCACGAGCCCCCAACTGTCTCCCTTGGGGTTCTCTGACCTCCACCCAGAGCCCAGGATCGCCCAGATGCCCCCAAGGAGCTCTGAGACTCACTAACTATGGGATCGTCCTGGAGTCGGGCCGCGGCTCCGGGTTGGGTGCTGGGGGGTTGGTGCTAACTGTGGGATCATCCTGGAGTCGGGCTGTGGCTCGGGGCTGGGGGCTGGGGGGTCGGTGTCTCTTCACAGGGGGGAACGGGGTCGGGGCTGGGGGGGGCGGTGTCTCTTCACAGGGGGGAACGGGGTGGGGGCTGGGGGGCGGTGTCTTATCACAGAGGGGAAAGCGGTCAGGGGCTTGGGGGTCAGTGTCATCATCACTGGGGTGCCCTGAGCACCGCACCAGCCTCCGGGGGTGCCTTGCAGATCTACTACTACGCAGACCAGATCTACCTGAGGGCGGGGGTGAACGCGAACCATGTCCAGTATGTGACAGCGGGCACCGGGGCCGTCAACGTGCTGATGACCATCTGTGCTGTGAGTCCCCCGCCTGCCACCAAGGACGGAGGGCATCGTGGGGGTGGGGGTGGGGGGACCCTAGCTGAGGAAGGAGCGGATCTGAGGCGGGGACATGCCTCTTGGTCTCCTCATCTCCAGCCTCTTGTCAAACGACAGCCTGTCTCTTGTGGGGGGTGGGGGGAGACAGCCTGTGCCCGCCCCCAAAATGGAGACCCCTGCCCTGCACTCTGGAAGCTTCCACCGTGTGAGGTGGCTCTTCCCCAGTCTCTTCCGTGTATGGTTACCACCTGTGTCAGGAGCAAATGGGGCCCTGGACGGGGCAGGGCGGTGGCCTGCTGGGGACCACACACACGGGCAGCCGCCCCTTCAGGAGGAGCCTGGGGGGTGGGTGGGGGGACTTCCTGTGAAGGCGGCTGTAGTCGCAGGGGTGCGGCCTCCTGTCCAGCTGGCCCTCCGCGCCCTCCCCTGCAGGTGTTCGTGGTGGAGCTCCTGGGCCGGAGGTTCCTCATCCTCCTGGGCTTCTCCGTCTGCTTCGCGGCCTGCGGCGTGCTGACGGCTGCCCTGGCCCTGCAGGTGAGGCGGGGGGCCTGGGCGGCGGCAGGAGCGCCCCGGCCGTCCCCTGAGCCCTCACTCGCATTGTAAGGAAAGAGACCAACTTGACCTTTTAGCAACTGCGATGAGCCAGACGCCTGGGGACCGTCTGCGGCCCCGGGAGCCCCCACCTCTAAGCCCACCACCCACTTCCGGCCCATTTTCCGGAGGCATCCGGGTGGCACGGCCTGCCAGGGAGCCAGGTGCCCTCCTTCCCCGGCCGCCCCCCTCGCGGGGACCCAGACTCTCCCCCTCGGCCCCCACCCGGTCGTCAGATCCAACTCTGTGCTCTCCCCGCAGGACACCATATCCTGGATGCCCTACGTCAGCATCGCCTGCGTCATCATCTACGTCGTGGGACACGCCCTGGGGCCCAGTATGTCCCCCAGAGCTGCTCCCTCTGGTGTCCTTGCCTCCTCTCCTGCACCGTCAGCCTTGGAAACTTCTGGCTCGAGGCCCCTGGAGAGGCCTCTCCCCCCCCCCGCAATGGCCTCTCCCCCTACCTTCCTGTCGCGCGGGGGGGTTGGACAGAGGGCAGTCAGAGTGATCGCAGTAAAGCGCCCTCGCCAGGCAGGTTGCGGCAGGCTGCCCCGTGTGACCGGCGCAGAGAGCCTTGCAGGTGACCCCGGGCCCCTTTTAGGGACATCACAGGATGTCACCCGTGGTGCTGTATTCTTGCTGTCGGCCTTCTCGCGCCGCTTCTCAGCAAGCCCAGGGATCCCGGAGACTCCCCGCTCCCTGGGCTGGTGCCTCGGGCGCCCATGCACAGCGGGCTTCCGGGACCCTTGGCGGGCTTGACCTGCTTCCAGAGAAGACAGCCCCCCTTCTTTCCCCTCTGCCCCCCAAGGTCCCATCCCCGCGGTGCTCATCACGGAGATCTTCCTGCAGTCCTCGCGGCCGGCCGCCTTCATGGTGGGGGGCAGCGTGCACTGGCTCTCCAACTTCACCGTGGGCCTGATCTTCCCGTTCATTCAGGTGAGTGCACCACCCCCCCGCCATCCCATGCACAAAATCCTCATGCAGTAAAGGGAGAAGCTTTTCGAGAAGGCGACCCCCTCCTCCCCTTCCCACAGGCGGGCCTCGGAGCCTACAGCTTCATCCTTTTCGGCGTGATCTGTCTTCTCACAACCATCTATACCTTCCTGGTGGTCCCCGAGACCAAGGGCAAGACCTTCATGGAGATCAATCAGATTTTCACCAAGATGAACAAGGTGTCAGAGGTGCACCCGGAGAAAGAGGAGCTGAGGGACTTTCCACCCCGTGCTCTGGGGCTGTAACTTGAGAGCAGGAGCCTGCCCAGAGGGGCTGCGCCAGCTTCCCTCCCGGGCTTTCGTCCTGACCCGCGGCCCTCTGTGGACACGAAGGACGAGGCCCCGTGCGGGCGGGAACGCACTGGGACTGTCCGGAGGGCTCCGGCGCCGCCTCTCCCCAGAGGGCCCCCACCAGCCCCGCGTCACCGGGAGCAGGTGCCCTTCACCGCGCTGGGCTCCTGATAACACCAGTGACAGCGATCATCCGCGTGGTGGCGAGATGGGAGGAATCACATCCGGCCGGAGGAAACAACTCTTCTGCAATCCGTGGGTCTTCTGGGGACCGGAGGCCTGCGTGCAGGGAAATTCTTCCTCCTGCTGGATCCGTCTCCGGAAATACCTGGACAATGTGCCATCTAAGAAGCTGGGGAGCAGGTCCCTGTGGAGATGTTAACGGACTCAGAGCTCGTTAATCCTGAATTATCTTGCTGGAGGACAATGAATGGCGTGGCCTCTGAATGCCCAATAAAGCACATATGATCACTTTTCACAAGACGCGCTTCTTTCCTGTGAACAGGTAGAAGACAGCAGCAGGGAAGGTGTGTGGCGGGGTGTCCCTGTTCTTCTGAGCAGTTCGATGGCACTGGAGCGTCAGCCCCTCGAGGGCCCGAGCTCGGCCGCTTTGGCTTCTCCCGGAATCCCACTGCCTGGACCAGGCCTGGCGTACGGGAGGCACTCGGACAGTATTTGCTGGAAGGGGCGAAGCAGGAAATGAGATGGTTACAAAGTTGTTGTTTTTCTAAATATAAGACTGAGGCTCCTCTGCATGTCTTCCGGTGCATGGCAGACACCGGGGGGTCCTGAAGGTGAGGCCAGGAGGGGAGCCCCCCCCAGCCAGCGGAGCGGGAGGATTTTCTTAGAGATGTGCATATGCGAGGGACGGGGAGGGTGCAGATGAGAAGATGAAGGCTTCGGGGGCATGGGGAGGAAGCGGAGGGCCCGCCTGCTGTGAGGCCACGTTGGCAGGATGTGACATCTGCTCCCTGTCCCCAGGGTGGGGGAACCAGAGCCTGGACTGTGGGGAGGGGGGCGGCGGACAGAGGTGGGTGTGGGCGCAGCTCTTGTGGGGGTGGAATGGGGCTCCCGCGGGTGATGAGCTAAACAAATAACTTAGAGGAGAAGCGAACAGTTCGCTGCTGTGGTCGGACCACCCTGTGTGGCTTGCAGGGACCCGTGTTGTGGAAGGGGGCACAGGGAACAAGCCTTCTCAGCCCTGGGAGCCTCCAGCCGGGATCAAGGAACCTCTAGCCTGAGGGAGGCTGGAGCTCACGTCCCTGGTCCTGCCTCTTAGTCGATGTGCAGCGTGGGTACTTACTCAGCTTTCCTGTGCCTCAGTTTCCTCTTCTGTTAAGTGGAGGTAATAACAAATGTCTCCCCTGGCTATGGGATTGAAAGAACAGGTGTGTAGTGTTTAGATCAGTGGCTAGGTTTTTTTTTTTTTTTTAAGTTTTTCTTTATTTTTGACAGAGTGCGCTCGAGCGTGAGCTAGGGAGGGGCAGAGAGGGAGGGAGACACAGAATCCGAAGCAGATTCCAGGCTCTGAGCTGTCAGCACAGAGCCTGACGTGGGGCTTGAACTCATGAACAGTCAGATCATTACCCGGGCTGAAGTAGGATGCTTAACCAACTGAGCCCGCCAGGTGCCCCTATACTTAGTTATTTGTAAGTGCTAGGGAATGAGCATCGATCTTGAGGACAAATAAAGCCGCAGGCAAACTGTAGCCAGAGACCACTATTCGTATATAACTGCGATTAACAATTAGGTAAACAGTTCAATGAAACAATTAAGTAAATAGGTGGCAGATGCTGGGAGCCATATCACTGTCGTGGTGGGAGGTCACGGATAAGCCAAGACAGGGAGGCCAGGATGACCCACGTGGTCATAGACGAGCACTGGAGATACTGGTATGAGGTCACGTTTACTATAAACACAGGTGGCTACGTGTAGAAATACTACGGACACGAGTATTTATATGGGTGAGAAAATACAGCAGGAGGGAGGCGTGACCGGGTGCTGCCCAGGAGGTGGGTGCACACCAGGGAAGACCACAGGACCCCCGGGAGGGAAGCCGTGGTCGGAAAGGGAAGGCTGAGTGCTCCGGGAGACAGCGGCTCAGAGCAGGGGAGGTCTGTTTAAGGGAACTGTAGGTAGTTGGGTCTGAAAGTAAAGCCAGAAGGATGTGGGTCCATGGCAGCCAAACCGATTCCGACCTGGGTCCTCGCGATAAGGCAGGCGTAGGGTGATCCGGAGCTGAGGGAGTCGTGTGGCAGCACTAAGGGCCGGGTGAGCCTTCGGAGGGGGGCCAGTTGGTAAGAAACAAGGCCCCCCCTGCAGGGCTGGCAGCCGTCAGGCCGAGATGCCAGGGAGAGTTCAGAGAGACCTGGATGATTTAGGGACTATTTGGGCCCCACAGGTGAGGTACCTGGCACCCCGCCGGCTTCCTGATGGGCCAGGAGTGAAGGGTGTGGGGAGGTTTGGGGTGAAGACATGATGAGATGCAGATGTTTTATGAAAAACTTAAGAAGTGTCTAGAAGGACGTCTGCGCGGACAGTGAGGAGCCTGCTTGGGATTCTGTCTCCCTCTCTCTGCCCCTCCCCTGCTCTCTCTCTCTCTCTCTCTCTCTCTCTCAAAATAAATAAATAAACATTAAAAGTTAAAAATAAAGGTTGTAACTGATGGAATAGTACTACGGGAAGGTTTGTGTCCTGGGGGCCAAGCTGGCTACAAAGATGAGTGAAGATGGGGGAGAAATGATGTTTTGGGAGAATTGGAAAGTGTCAGGAGGTTGGAGGTTCTTTGGATGCTGAGCAAGGTCAGTCAAGGTCGGGGCAGTTAGCAAACGAGAGAGACAGAGGTGAGGAGGGCTACGGACGCTGTTTGTTCGCTCGGTGCCCACAGCGCCGGGGACCGGCTGGCCTCGCTGAATGTCTGAGCGGCCGAGACTCGCTGTACCAGGTTCAAGCAACGAAGGCAGAGCAGAGGGAGGCTGAGCTGACGCGGGAAAGCGCATTCACCAGAGGCCGCCAGCCCCAGGGCGGTGGACGTGTTCATAACCCCATCAGGCACGTGGAGGGTGGCTTTCACCGGTGGTCTACATTTCTGGATTTCACAGACGAAACGTCAGCAGACTAGGGGCTCCTGGCTGGCTCAGTGAGTGGAGAGTGTGACTCTTGATCTCGGGATTGTGAGTTCAAGTCCCACCCTGGGGGCAGAGATTACTTGAGTATAAAATCTTCTCTTTTTTTAAGTTTATTTATTCATTTTGAGAGAGACAGAGACAGCATGAGCAGGAGGGGGGCAGAGAGAGAGAAAAAGAGAGAGAGAGAATCCCAGGCAGGCTCTGTGATGTCAGTGCAAAGGCCAACCTGGGGCTCGAACTCACAAACCGCAAGATGGTGACCTGAGCTGAAGTTGGACGTTTAACCAACTGAGCCACCCAGGCGCCCCTAAACCTTCGTCCTTTAAACTGGGTATACGTTCCTTTGTTCCTTTGCGGGAGCCTCACCACACTGCCTTCCACCTGCTGGAAGACAGGCTTCAGGACCCAGAGGGCGGTGACTTTGGCCGATTTTGTTACAAAAGGGCTTGTAGAACAGAATCTGAAATCCCGCCCTGGAACTGGAGTGGGGCCGGGTCCTGCCATCTGAAGTCTGTCCCCTCGAGGGCTGGCTCCTGGGTCCCCAGAGGAAGAGCGAGGAGGCAGGGAGCTGTGATCCTCAGACCCTCGTGTGCGGGGGAAACATGGGAGCCTCGGGCCTGTCACCCACATTGGGCTCAGCACAGTGACACACACAGCATCTTCCGTCCGCGAGGAATTTAGAGTCTAGGTAGGAAGATGGCAACCACATTGCCCCGTGGTGGCAAAAAGAAAGGACAAAATGTTCGGGGCGCCTGGGTGGCTCAGTCGGATAAGAGTCCGACTTTGGCTCAGGTCATGATCTCACAGTTCGCGGGTTTGAGCCCCGCATCGGGCTCTGTGCTGACAGCTCAGAGCCTGGAGCCTGTTTCGGATTCTGTATCTCCCTCTCTCTATCTCCCCTGCTCACGCTGTCTCGCTCTTTCTCTCAGAAATAAATAAAACATTAAACAAAAACTTAAAAAAAAAAGGACAAAATGGCAGATGGCTGCATCTGGTTCTGAGTCTGCCGTGAGCACTGACTTAATCATCCGAGCAGCCCTGGTGGCTCTTGCTGGCACTTAATAAATGTTGAATGAATGAATGTGAGCCAAAATCATCTTCGAGGAAAAGGTAAACCATGGGCCGTGCCTCGAAGAATGTGCGAGGCTCATACATGGAGGATGAGGTGTTTGGGAGGGTAGCAGGGAAGAGAGCAGCATTCACATTGTGAATGAAAGACATTCGCTCAACAAGTATTTGTTGAGCACCTACTATGTGTCAGGCATTAAATATAATGGATCTACTGGTCAAAAATATAAGTGAACTGATACTTAAGGTTATCGCAGAGAATACTCAAGGTAAAGTGCTGAGAGAGCGGCAGGGAAGGGGTGGAGGGTGCTTTACAAACGGTGGTCCCAGAGGAGACGTCCCCAGGAGGTGATGTTTGTCCTGTGGTCTGGCGGAGGGATGCTTCAAGCGCAAGGAACAGCAAAGAGGCTGGTTTTGCCGTCGGGCCAGCTGGTAAAGCAGTGAGATCTGGCAGACCAGAGCTCAAGCATCTTTAGGGACAAACTGAAAGGTGACTGTGGTCAGCAGAGTAACGCTACTGTAAAATATGTCCCTGTCCTGACCCCCAGGAACTGTGAACACGGTATTTTAACGTGGCAAAGGGGAATTAAACAGCAGATGGAATGAAGACTGTGAATCAGCGAGCCCTGAGATGGGAGGCTTTTCTGGACCATCCAAGAGGGATCCGCGTGATCACAAGGAAGAGGTAGAACCATAAAGATGGCACCTTGAGACTCAGTCCAGTGTCATTGGCTGTGAAGATGGCGAAGGTGGCCATGAGCAGGGAATTCGGGTGGCTCCTAAAAGCTGGAAAGACAAGGAAGTGGATTTCCCCCCAGAGCCTCCAGAAAGGGATGGAGTCCGGCTGGTACCTCTATGTTAGCCCAGGGAGACCCAGCTCAGACTTCTGACCTTCCAGAACTGTAAGGCAATAAATCAGTGTTATTTCAAGCCACTACGTTTGTGGTGGTTTGTTAGAGCAGCTTCAGGAAGCTGGTACAGAATAGAGAAAGGGCTGGGAGAATTCTGAGAAGCAGAAGAGAAGTTAGTAGAAATCTGAATGTGAGTATTTCATTGCTCACTGGGTCCCCCAATGGGAAAAGGCAGGTAAGTGCCACCCAAGAAAAAAACCAGAGCAGAATTCAAGGTCACTGAGGACGGACCACTGGCCGGCTGGGCTCAGGGGTGCACGTCTACTTTCTGCAAGAGAGGGCGGGGACAGCCTCCAAGAGCCAGCCCTTGCCCTGTGTCCTGTGGACCCACCAGCCGCCAGGGAGCACCGTGTGGCTGCACGCACCCCATGTCT